GGAGGGGAGAGGAGAAGGGAGGGGAGGGGAGGGGAGGGGAAGAGAGGGAAGGGGAGGGGAGGGAAGGGAAGGAAAGGGAAGGAAAGGGAAGGGAAGGACTCCCATGGGCAGCCTGTGAGAAGCAGAGGGAACTGTACAAAGGCTAGGAGGCAGCGGGGTGTCTGACATGTTTCTGAAAGGACAAACCAGAGTCTCTGGAGGGGGATGAACCCCAGGGAAAGAAGAGACAGATCGATCAACGAGATAAAGAGATCTCAGGGACCATTTAAAGCCCACAGTTCACTTTCCTTCTGTTGGTTTGTTGTTGTTTGGTTGGTTGGGTTTTTTGTTTGTTTGTTTGTTTGCTTGTTTGTTTTGGTTTCTTTGTTTTTGTTGTTCAGACAAGGTCTCTCTCACTAGACCAGGAGGGCCTCAAACGTCCCATCCTCTTGCCTTGGGGTTGCAGATGTGTGCCACCGACCCTTGAATGAAATGGAAAGCCGCAAGAGAATTTAGATCTGAGAAGTGACAGAGGTCTGACTTGTGTTTTCTCAGACCATCCTGGGAGATGCAGGACAGAGGAACGAGGCAGAGTCCCCCGCCCCCCCATCCCTGAAATAACCGCGCCCTGTGTTGACCAAGAGGAAAAAGTAGACCAGACCCGTAAATCCATCAATCTCTCCAGTGCGGTGCTTTTAAACTTCGTCGTGTGTCTTCATTTCCTGGCGATATTTGGTAAAATTGCAGGTTACAGGCCGCCTCCCCCAAAACTCATTTAGCGGGTCTGGAGCTGGGCGTTGGGATCAGACGACACCTGCGCTGGGATTTGAAGAAGCACCCAGAGAGTTAGCAAGAGTTCTAAGCTTTCGGGTGCTTGGCTGGAAGCAGTACCCCCTCCCCTAAAGCCTCGGACAAAGAGGGGTCCTCCTTCCAATATTGCTGTTTGGCCGCTGCACAAGGGAGGGTTGATGCGGTGAAACGGGGAGTAACTGGCGGGTGTCCTCTGCGAAAAGCGCCCCCTCCTGCCGCCAGACAAAGGGCGGTGTCCTATAAAGGTTGTGGCAGAGGCTCTGTGTCCAGGCGAGGGCGCACACGGACAGCCGACATACACTGCGACAGACACTGTGACAGCGCGGGCTACCAGCTCCTGGCAAGAAGTGCGTTGACCTAAGCGAGCGGGAGTGGGCAGAAGCAAGGGGGGCTCCGGGCTTACTACAGAGAACAGAGAGAGATGTGGCCACTTGGTAGCAGCCACTGAAGGGACTCTTTAGGTGACCAGGGAACTTTAGCGGGGCAGAGGCAGTGGCGCGGTACTAGGGAGCCTCTCTAGCCTCCTAAGGCACGTGTGTTGTCCAAGTCGCTTTAGCTGGAACGCAGCGCCAGTCCCCTGCACCCCAGAGCATCTCCGGGGGTCTTTATGCCGCCGCCAGATCTCTCTTAGCGATCCTCCGATACCTTGCCGTTGTGAAATTTCAACCTCTAGATGCTTTCCCAGACTTCCGAAATAACGTATCGGGCAGGTTTGCCACGGTGAGATGAGTTAACTTTTTTTTTTTTTTAGAGTGGGGAAGGGATAGCTGGGAAATAGATAGAGGGTTCACAGACAAGCCGCAGATTGGACAGAAAGAGCAGAGACGTCAAGTGCGAGCAGGCTGCGAGGCACCGGTGTTAAGTGCGCCTCGGCCGCGATGGCCCCGGGACTCAAGAAAGTTGTTGAAGGGGACCGCCTCAGTCCGCTCGCCACAAAAAGGTATCCAGTGCGCTCGACTCACTCCGAGCATTACGTGTGGTTGCTTAGGAGAGACAAACGCGATAGTCTGTAGAGAGAGTTCTAAGATCTGAGTGTATGATTATGTTGAATGAGCGTGAAGTGTACATCTCAGAATCGCAGTAGATGGGGAATGGGATGGGTTAAATAGATGGGAAATCTTTGTGCCGTTTACTTTTTAATATTTTCAAAACTGGTATGGAAAACTTTTAAAATTAACATAAAAAGGGTTCGATATCATTGTAACATTTTCAAATAGCCTGTGATCTACTTCATTTCCTTCCCTCACCTCCCACCACCTGCCACCCTCATTACCCCCACACACCTTGTAGCTGTCCCGTCTTAAGTTTTGCTTGGTACTTTTTTCTTAACGGAGAGGAGCCGTGCCTAGGGTTAGCTATTAGACTCCATTCCCAATCTAGCTCTTCAAACGGCTGTCCAGCTTCCTTTCTATGGTGTACCTGCACTTCCAAGAAAATGTTGTAGGAAGAGTCAGATACACCGGATAGAGTTGCAGTAGAGAAACTGACTACCTTAGGGGAATAATGATAATAACAATAAATTACTATTTATTGTTATATATCATACTGCTGTATGAGCCTGTAGACCTGAGGATAACCCTGTAGCGTTGTTAGCTGCAGAGTTTTGTCCCTTTCCAGTTGGTCTGGGGTTTGTGTCCAGGAACTGTGGACCAGGAAGAGCACATTAGCAACAGTGGACACCTTCCCTAGGAGCATAAGTCGTTTTCGTCCGTAAGTGTTACCTCCGCTGCTGACCACAGGAAGAGGTCGTACGTTCTATCTTCATGGTGTATTTAACATAACGTTCATTCAGGTGCTTTCTACAGCACCCATACCATAGTGAAATTAGTTGTTCAGACAGACCTTGAAATCTTTTTTTAATTAAAAATTTGTGTGTGTGTGTGTGTGTGTGTGTGTGTGTGTACAACTCGCATGTCTGGTACCCAGAAGAAGGGGTAGGGTCCTCTGGAACTTGAGTTATAAATAATTAAGAACTGCCATATTGAACCCAGGTCCCATAGATGAACAGTCAGTGATGGTAACCACAGAGCCATCTCTCCAGCACTTAAAGCTCATACCTGGCTTGAGTCTATAACCCTCCTACCCAGGGATATGTGGCTAGAATTCGAAAGTTCTATGAACTTGAATAGGGAGATATTATATCTTTATTTTCGAGTAATATTTATTCTAAATGTAGTATTTCCTCTATTTACAAATATAGGTGATAAAGTACATTAATATTCACATGGTTCTAAATAAAGAAAACCATTTTTATTCCTGTCTCAGAATAATGATTTTAAATGCATTAAATACATAAACACAGGGAATGATCTGCGTCTATGTATTTAATTTAGTAGCTGCTCAGATACTATGATTTCAAATACAATAAAGACAAGATTTATCCTAAGACAGGACAGTACGGGTATGTCTGTCACTAGTGGAAGTCCCAGATACCTGCATCTCACATCTCAAATGCTGTGGATCTTTTTAAAAAAAAAAAAAATCAAATGTCATTTCTTAGAAACTATGGTGGCATGTGTAGTTTTTAATGTGTTAAAAATTAAGCAAATGTATTACCACACTGCATTTTTAATTTCAGTATTTTAATAACTACTAAGTGGGACTCATTATTTTCTGTGTCGCCGTATTTTAACTTACACATTTAAAAATTTGACATAGGAACCAATATATATTTAAAGTCACTGTTCTGAGAGGACTGCAAACCCAGACTTCCCTGGGCCAGCACAAAGCTTCATGGTGCAAAAATGAAAAAAAAAAAAAGTTAATGAACCCCAGTCTAGCAGGAGGCCTCGGTTGTGACACTGATGTTTGCCCTTATTTCACCATCTACCCATGGCATCTGGTGTGAAATTTCCCCTCTCCTAGTTTGCTCTGAAATCAAGATTAGCGGCAATCAGTCCTTGCAACTGGAAAAACACTAAATGCAATTTTCTTTTGATTTAAGAAGTACAGTGCAGCGATTTTCCAGTGGCCTCTATTTTGAGCTTTTCCAGCTTGTTAAGTTACTGATTTCTATTTCCCCCATGGAGAAGGAGAGTCAAACACTCGAGGCTAAATCAACAAGTAATTACCAAGCATCCCTCTGATGGCAGCCTACATTTTTAGAAGAGTTTTGTTCTTTTTTCTTTTTTTTTAGTTCCTTTCCTTCCTTTCTTTCTTTTTTAACTGATCCTTCTGTCTGTCTAGTACAATAGACTCCAGCCGTCTTAGAAAAACACCATAACCAGTTAACCCTGCCTAATCTTCTTTGCTCTCAGCTTGAAAAGGACCCCCACTCCCCCTGGGATTAGAGTTGACTTGGCAGTGAGCTAAACCCTCTTTTGATAAGACAACTTTGTCCCCCAGTTCTGGCCAGTTCCAGTGTGAACAAAACCCAAGAGTTTCCTTTCTGTCTTCAAGTCCCCTCGATCTGGGTTTCTATTTCAGGTATAGTTGGGGTAGCGTTCTGGCAGCATACTTCTATTGTAGAACCAAAGGCCAAAATATTCAGAAACGTCTCAGGCTAGATACAGGATAATGGGGCAGTGCACATTTCTAAACAGGAAGAGACCTAGTCCACAGGCCTGTTTTACAGGAAGGTGTGGTATTCTTGGAAGCCTGCTTGTAAAGTGTGCTGTTTCTCTGTTTCTACAGAATCTATCTTCCTCCCTCAAATAAACAAAAGCAGCTTGCTCCTGAGGGTCCAGCAGTACAACAAAGCCATGCCTTGACTCATGATGCAGTTCTGAGCCCTCCTCAAGCGTGTGCCATAGGTTAAGAATACACACTGAAAATGTATTTGACACACCTAACCTATAGAAGATTGCTCAGACCAGATTCCCTTAAAAGTGTTCAAAACACTCACCTTAGCCTACAGTGGTCAAAAATCACCAATGCAGAGTCAATTTTATAAGACAGTAGGACACGTCACATATAATTGACTGAACACCTCGGTCCATGACATACTAGCAGCACAGCACTACACCCTACAGCTCACTCCACTGATGGTGCAGCTGACAGGCAGCTGCAGCTGATCCCAGGATGTGTAAGGAGTGTTACGCTATGCTGTAAAGACTCCTATAGATGGGGTTAGGAAGAGGCTGGGCTCTCTCTCTCTCTCTGTGTCTCTCTGTCTCTTTCTCTCTTTCTCTCTCGTTTTGGCTTTTTTGAGACAGGGTTTCTCTGAGTAGTCTTGGCTGTCCTGGAACTCACTCCATAGACCAGGTTGTCCTCGAACTCACAGAGATCCACCTGCCTCTGCCTCCCAAATGCTGGAATTAAAGGTGTGTGCCACCATGGCCCAGCACCTTTGCTCTCTTGTAAAAAGCTCTTGACACACTGCACATTCACACCCAACACTTCCTGGACTAAATATATACTTTATTCGTGTGTGTGCTCAATTCCATACTGTAAGTGATTTTGGTCAACTGGGAGGGATAGGTTATAAAGGAAGTAATGGGGTTGGCAATGCAGCTTAATCAGCGCTGCATGGCCAGCATGAGTCCCTGGGTTCAATTCCCAGCATGCATAAACCAAAAAATGGTGACGTATGACTATAACCCTAACATTCAGAAGTTCAAGGTCATCATTGGCTGCATAGTAAGTTTAAAGTAAACCTGGAATACATGAGATCTGACCTCAAAACAAGGGGGCAGGGAGGGATTAAAGGCAGTTTTATAATGGTGACTTCTAAACAGTCAGGAAGAAACGGCTACAGTGTTCTTCTTTTGCCCTTCCTCCTGCCATCCTTTTTCTTCTTAAACAAGACATTTCTAAAAAACTCAAAATGGATTTCTTAAAGCCTGACTTAAGATCGAGCATTGCGGGCTCTTGGCAGAACATGTGATTGTAGGTCTTGGCCACCAAAGTCCCTTTTCTCTCTCATCTCAGGAACCTGGACATGACCAGAAAGATCTTCACAAACACCAGGGAGCGGTGGAGGCAGCAGAGTGTCAACAGCGCCTTCGCCAAGCTGAGGAAACTCATCCCCACTCACCCTCCAGACAAGAAGCTGAGCAAAAATGAAACGCTTCGCTTGGCAATGAGGTATATCAACTTCTTGGTCAAGGTCCTGGGAGAGCAAAGCCTAGAGCAAGCAAGAGTAGCTGCTCAGGGAAACATTCTGGGGCTCTTTCCCCAAGAGCCCCATCTGCCTGACGTGGATGAAAGACTTCTACTCAATGACTATGGAGTTGCTTCCCCTGGCCCCAGCCGTGAGGCTCCCTAGGGTGGCTGTGACGTCAGTCCCTGGGGCAGTACTAGTTGAAGAGGCCTGTGGTTGTGTGTGTGCTGTGGAGAGGTGTGACGCAGGAAGTGATGGGAGCAGAAGCTAAGAGCCGCAAGGGGACTTGAGGGATGTTGCTCTAGCCTCATTACCCCAGGACTTCCGGCAGAAGAACTTGCTCCGTAAGTCCGCACGAGACGATTGCAAAGCAGCAGAACAAACTGCTGCCTCGCTCATGACTTCAGTATTGAGGATTTTCTTACACTGGATCTCAGAGGAGTGACCGATGCTCTGAATATATTTAAAAGTTTGCTTTGAAGAAGGAGATGTGTCTGATTGAGGGTAGATACAAGAAGTCTTAAGACTGGTGAATGAAAAGGTAGCCACTGTGGAAAACCAACCCCAGAGAGGCATGGGTCACCTCTGGAGGGATGTCCCTTTGGAGCAGAGACGTGAGGATTCTGTGGGTGGAAAGGCTCCATGTCCTTCGACCTCTATAGAGTCGTGATAACCTACTTGGCTGCATAGTAAGTTTGAGGTCAACCTGGAATACACGAGATCCAGCCTCAAAAGAGGAGGGGGCAGGGGAGGGATAAAACGCAGATTTATAATGTTGGCTTCAATTTGAGTCTCTGAAACCAAATAGTGGATTCTATTCATTCGAGGAAAAACCCTGGTAATTTAGGAGCTAGACTTCATAGTTTTCTTATTAAAAATAGCTGAAATGAGGGAGCAAAGCCCTTAGTTTGACACATTGGGTACTAAAACTTTTAATTCAGCCAAATTCCTGCTGACTTAAGTCCTGCACAAGTCAATAATTATGAAAAATCCAAATATTGGCATTTCACATTTTGCTGCGAGCAGACAATAGAAATAAGGGACCAGATTCTAATGAACTAGTGCATTGAAGGCCAGGGAGCATTGGCTGGGTCTTATGTTGGGGCAGGGTAGCATCTGGCAAACCAGTGGAACAGTGTGGATGCTCCAGTCTCACTCCACACCATTCTGGTCCTCATGGAACTTGAATTCAAACATGAATCCAGCAGCTGAGCTGTCAAATGCAGATGTCTATCTCTGGGATAGTTATATTCCCTCAGAGTTCTTTTGGCTTTATGATCGTCTAATCATAGGTGGGGCATCTATGGATTGTGGTTAAGAATTTCCAGTGTCGGGCTGGAGAGATGGCTCAGAGGTTAGGAGCATTCCTACTCTTCCAAAGGTCCTGAGTTCAATTCCCAGCAACCACATGATGGCTCAAAACCATCTGTAATGGGGTCTGGTGCCCTTTTCTGGCCTGCAGGCATACATACAGACAGAATATTGTATACATAATAAATAAATAAAAATAATAAAAAAGAATTTAGAGAGTCTACACAATATAGAATTTAAATGCCCCTCTGGAAAGTATTTTATTCATAAGTAACCACATCATTAAGGTCGATTTAGCCAATGCACTTGTAGCACAATGAATTTTCCTCTAAGTCCTTTCTTTAATCTCACTTGGTTAATTTCCTCACAGAAACAGTATAGAGACGGGGAACCACAGAGGCTGCTGGAGGCCTTCCTTCCACCCTAGAGTGTATATCATTCCCACCAGCTGCGGGAGGTTCAAGCTTGCCCCCAGTTTACCAGGCAGTGGGACATTTCTAAGTTTTAATGGTAGTTGTCAGTTAAGTCACACTGCCCTCTCATCTGGCATTAAATAAAGTACATTTGACAGTGACCTTTTTTTTTTTTAAGGATTTTTAAAAGATTTATTATGTATACAGTGCTCTACCTGCAGGCCAGAAGAGGGCACGAGATCTCATTACAGATAATTGTGAGCCACTGTGTGGTTGCTGGGAATTGAACTCAGGACCTCTGGAAGAGCAGCCAGTGCTTTTAATCTCTGGGCCATCTCTCCAGCCCCAGGGACTTTGTTTTTATTTAGATTCTTTGAACATGAAGAAAGCACAGAGGCCCTCGGTCCCTAGAAGCAAAATTTTTGCTCTACACAGACCACACTCACTTTCCTGATTGCTGGAGCTTTTGTCTGGCTCAGAGGGGGCCTCCCACTGAAATGCTACAAGGACCCCAAAAAGATGTGAGGAGGTTGCATCATCAGTACAGTAAACGAGGGGGACACTTACTTAAAGAAACCCTAGAGGAAATCCATTCGTAGGTGAACAAACCTTTACAATGTTATATGGGAGGTACTCCTTAAAGTATTTATTCAGCTTTAATTTTCTGTATCAAGTTGAATTAAATTAACACAACTGTCAACAAATAAAACCAAAAGCAAACAAACAAAAAACCAGCTGTAATCACATGTAGTCCCAAACCTAGTCACCATATGTGTGAGACCGGAAGCTAAGTCAAAACTTCCTCTATGGTTTCCTTCGATGGACCTAGTAATAAGACTTCAGAGTTCAAACACATTATCGTCTACCAGATGCTACATCTGTTTATGGGCCATCTGAGTCTAACAGAAGAGTTAAGTCAAATTTTCTAACTACGCTTCTCTGTTCTTTGAACTAACATGAGCATTTGGTCTGTTTAGAAATCACATTTAAGCAGGACCTTGCTTAATATAGACTGGGTTACTACTCCATTGCCCAGTGAAGAAAACAGGTTTGTCTCCGGGGCTGTCAGCACAGGACACAGACGCCTGTCTCCTGACCCTCTCTCTAACCTGTCCATGGCGCTGATGGGTCACCGTGTACTTGGAACTGAGAATGAGCAGGCGCCTTATCGTTATGTTGACCTTTCCCCAAAACATTTAGTGATCTTCAAATGCTTTTTCTTTTTTGTGATATGACATTACCATGCTCTATAGAATGTGAGTAGCTGTGTCAACCAAAGATTTTATCTGTTGATGTGTTGTGTCATTTCTTAACCATTGATCATAATTTGCTATTTAACTGTTAACTTATTACAAATAAATTATTTAAAAAATGATTGTCCTTTTACTTTTAGACATAATTTCATAAACTTACAAAGAGTATCCACCACGTCTTCCACTTTCAAGGTCACTGTGGAACGAAACCCTTTCCACACTCTTTGTCCTTAGTCTAGAAAAGAATTATCCCCAGCTGACATCTCTCCCATCTCCCTGTGTCCTCACAGCAGCGTGCTGTCTTATTTCCCATAGTTTTTCTTTTCTTTTTTCCCCTTTTAGACAGTTTTACCACATAAGACCCTGGTAGTCTTGAGTTTACGATCCCTCTGTGTCAGCCTCTCTAATGGTGGGACTACAGGCAGGTGTCACTACACCTGACTCATGAGGCTTCCTAATTGTCCCCAGGTCACAGCTGTGGTCATATAGCTTCCCTGCTGCCAACCCCTCAGGGTGTCGCCTACCATACAGACAGACACCGCAAAGAGCAAGGCCACCTGCAAACCCGGCCCTATCCCCTTTCCACAAACCCTGCATGTGTTGCACGGACCAATGGAATGGCTTTCCTCAGTGATCCACTTTTCCTGCTTCTTCCTGTGGCCTTGTGATTTCAAATGTTTGTCCCATTCTCTTTCCTTCTGCTTGCCTCTGTATCAAATCTCAGACACTAAACCCTTCATGGTTGATCTTAATATGTAACCCCCTTCTACCTTCCCTTCCTTACTTTCTCCCCATTTAGGGACCGGGTCTCCTCAGCTTCCTGGCCATCCTCCTTCCTCAGTCTCCCCAGGGCTGGGGTTGCAGACTTGTGTCACCAAGTCCCTGGCTACCTCCTCTTACATAGAGTCCTAGAGTTCTTCTCAATCGCTCACTGCTTCCTCATCTCCCGTATCTGACTTACAACCCTCTTTTCCTTTGCTGTATATTATAGACACCTGTATATATCCTGTTCTTTCTGAAAAACCAAAATCCACTTGAGTACAGGAATAGACTCTGATGTTTAATTTTCACCATAATCCTCCAACTGGCCCCTACTTCTAAAATGTGAAAACGATCCTAAGACTATCCATGCCAAGAATTACAGTTGGCTTCCCCTGCGAGTGTGGGGGGAGAGAGGACATTAAAATAAAGCCACACAGGCTGGCTTTTCTTTTTTTTCTTTTCTCTCTGAGACACACAGTCTAAGGCTTTTCTTTAAAGCGCTCCATAATTACCATCCAAGAACATCCCTTACAGCACCTGCCTTGTGAGTTTCATCACCTAAGAATGACTTGCGATGGCCAACAGAAGCATTCAGTTGTGCGTGTCTGGCATTGTCCCTAAAAAGGCAAAAAGATGAAAGGGGCTGGGGATAATGGTCAGCTTAACTGGTGACCTAGGTCAAAGGTCAAAAGTCACATCCTCCGCCAGACCACCGATGATCTGGAGGATCTGAAAGTCCAATAGCGATGCAAAGTGAGGGATTTGCAGCAGGTGTTGAGAAAGGAGCAGGAAGGCTAGGAGGTCCTCCAGGAGCTCAGGAGGCCAGGGGTGGCGAGGTCTCTCCAGCCCAGTGTCTTCTTGTGCCCTACATGCAGCTGACCAGAAACAGACAGACATGCATGGCTTCATTTTCTTTTCTCTTCTTCTCTAATAGATTATCACGAAGAAGTTCTAAAGACCCTGGATTTATGCACGAGCTTCAGTTGGGTTCACAATTTACCAAGTAACGTTTATTGCAAGAGTTTAAAAATGTCCACTCGAGAAATTTCCCTGGTAGACTAATGAAGGCCACTGCTAAAGGTCATCATTAGAGAAGGTTTGCAAATGTGGACTAGAGTGAATGCAATCTCATTCTTTGTTCTAAGTAATCATTAAAAAGAACTATGGAAAAAACATAATCAGAATTCTTGTCAAAGAAGTATGTCCATGAACTTAGTTAGTGACACTCCAGTAGAGCTAGCTAGGCCACAGGTAAGACAGAAGATTTCTTCAGTTCCAGAATTCACAATCTGTGCAGCATAATGAGACCGTATCTCTGGAATATAAAGTCTTTTTCAAAGACTTATAGAGATGAATATTTTAACATGTGAGTGTAATATTAAGAATAAGGCTGACAAAGTTTCCAGTATCTGCCAAACACTGAGCCCAAGAACTTCTAAAAAACTTCTAGTATACCAACTTACATAATTTTCTTTTTTCTTTTTTTCTTTTCTTTTCTTTCTTTCTTTTTTTTTTTTTTTGATTTTCGAGACAGGGTTTCTCTGTAGCTTTGGAGTCTGTCCTGAAAGCAGCTCTTGTAGACCAGGCTGGCTTCGAACTCACAGAGATCCGCCTGCCTCTGCCTCCTGAGTGCTGGGATTAAAGGCGTGTGCCACTACCGCCCAACAATTTACCTAATTTTCATAATAATATTATATTTTCTAATACAGCATTAATTGTAGTCTATTAATTATATGCATGTCTTTTTGTGGTCCTGGGAGTGAACCTGGGTCCTTGGACATGTTTGTCAAGCACTCTACTACTGAGCCACATCCCCAGCCCTAATTACATGCACATATTATATCAATATTTATTGTTGCCATTTCACAAGATACCTAAGAAAATATAACTATGGGGTCACACTGCTGAATCAGAACGCTGCTCTGAGCTGTTTCTAGAAGGAACCACTGCATCACATAAAGCCAGGGTGACTTGTCACACTGCTTTATTTACATTCGAGCCAGACACACTGTGAGGTAAACAAGCACCAAAGTCCCTAGGAAGAGGAAGCTTCCTGTCCCGGAAGCACCAGACCAGGGTTAACCCCAATAAACCTCTGAAATCAGACAGTTGTACCAAATGCGATGCCTTTGGCACCACAGGTGGCTCACAGAATGCAACTGTTGGGCTCCAGCAGGAGATGGTTTGCTGGTTTTTTTGTCCAGTTCCTGCCAACAGATCTGTTCTGCCTCATCTTGCCTTCCTGCTCCATTATGGCAAGCAGGTCAGCTCAGGCCACATCAGACACTCACTGTGTCCCCTTCCCCGTGGTTGGCCCCTCCATTTCTCCCTCTCTCCTGGCCTCAGCTCTCCAGAGTTGGAGAGAAGGGAGGACTTCCGGTCTTGCACAAAAAACACTTTTCTTCACCGCATGTAAGCTACATTCTTGTTCGCTGTAAATCTTTTTATCGATTTTTGTTAGCTAACCATGTACCTGTGTTAGGTCCGAAGGGATAGAACAGGGGTGGGAGAGATGACCCAGTGGTTAGGAGCACTTGCTGAGTCTTACAGAGGACTCAGGTTCAGTTCCCAGCACCCACATGGCAGCTCACAGTCACCTATAACTCTAGTTCCAGGGGCTCCGATGCCCCTTTGTGCTCTCGGTTGGCACCAGGT